AAAAAAGTCACTCTACAGTAAGCACCCCAAAATGACTACCGGTCGGTAAAAATGTTTAACCTCTTGTTGAACATTTTCGCATTGTCTTGGAAATAAATTTTAAGAATAATTAAATTAAATTAAAAAAAAAAAAAATATGGTTTATATGTATTAGTGAATATTTTTACGTTAATTCATATTCTGGGTAATTAAAAATTATATAAAAAAGGCGCTCACGTTATATTCTTCAAGTAAACAAAACAAAAATTAGACAAACTGCCGTCTGTCGGTCAAGCTGTCAACACCTGAAATAAACAGCTACCACCGTGTTAGAAAATGCATTTCTGTGATATTTTAAACTTAAGGTAAGTAATATTTGTTTCAAATTTGATTAATTAAACTTTAATCAGCTAATATTCCTCAAATAAAGTTTCAGAAAAGTAGTTCTTAAAAGACCTTTTAACAAAGGGAATTACATTGAGGTGAAAAATGGCGCTAAAATTTTTAGCAATTTCAAAACGAAAACTAATCAATTTAAATTAGTTTTGAAATACAGCAAAGTATTTTGTTTATTGGAAATATTAAATTCTTATCTTGTCAACCACAAGAGCCACCACAGCCTCCAAAACCAACCAAAAAAAAAAAAAGGGTTTTTTTATGTTTATCAAGTAGGCGGTGAAAGAGGTGTTTAAACGCAGACCAATGTTTTCCCTGTGAAATCCATTTTCCTAGCTTCTGAATTTTTAGCGGGGCTTGTAAACGACGTCTTATTTGTGACGAATGGTTGTACATGTAGAGTACTAATATTAATAAAAAGTGATTAACATGAGTGCTACAAAATAAAGAGGTTTTTATTTCCTTCTCTTTTACAACACAAGGACTTGTGGAAAAATCTGAAAACAAAAAATTGAATCGTTCGTGTTTTGTTTTTCTTTAAAGTCTCTGCGAATTGTAGAGAAGTTTCAACGGCTTTAAAAATATTATCGCCAAGTTGAGAATCGTAATTTGATTCTGTTCGTGTAGCGGTCAAAGGAGCGGGCAGCGGTGATACATAGTTGTATTCATCTTGCCGGGCAAGTAAACTGTTTTAAGGTAGTTTGAAAATATATTTTTTTTATATTGTTCTGATGGCTCCACGCACACGCGTGTTAGCTCCAGAAATTTCTTAAGTGTCCGCGTATTTTTTGTACACTCGATTGTTCAAAAATGTGGTCGAGTGTGTTATTTCTTTTTAAGAAAACGTGCATAGGCATTTTTTTATATATTGCGCCAAAGTTGATCGATTTTTCTCGAACTTTCTTTGACGGGGAAATTGCACCATTTCCTATAGTACAAAAAAAAAAAAAAAAAAAAACTGTTTAAACTTCAAAGAAACTAAGACATTCTTAACATTGAGTAAAAAACGTAACAAATTAATTTATTTTTACTTATTTTTCTTGCCACTGTGCAATACACAATCAAATTGGATGCAGGTGCAAGAAAAAAAGAATAAAAAGTGCACACAACTCAGATGCAAAAAAGCACGCGCACATTATCCAATGAAGAAAATACCGTTTTAAATACGTTAAAAATTCTCAGATTACAGTAGCGTTCTTTTTACACATGGTCCAAGGATAAAAACTAACCCTCAAGCGCTTTGTCCAAGAACTAATAGAGCTAAAACACCGTGCGGAGGGTAACAGATCAAACAGGACCAACCCGGGATACGTGCTGTCATTCATTTTATGCTCTGATGTGACAACAGGAATTAGAAAGGATGGGCAGCAAGCAGTTGATTATTTTCTGGGTAATATCTAACCCTTTTCGGGGCTCTCTTGTCCGCTGCCGAGCAGACAGCATACCAAACAACAATCCGGTACGCTAGCATACTCTCAGCGGTAAAAGATCATCAGCTGCTCCCTTAGTTTCAAAAAAAAAAAAAAAAAAAAAAAAAAAAGAAGAAGGGGTTCTGAGAATACTCAGTAAGTATAGTCATTTCTTGACTATGGCGGTGGTACTGCTAGTCTAGGAGAGATCTGCAATGCACATGCCAAGAAACTTAATATTATCCACCTACTCCAAACAAGCCCCGCCGATAAGCAAAGGGACAATTGCTGTGGCATTTATTTAGAATTGCGACATAATTCTATGTTTGTATTAAGAGGCCGTTTAAATATAGCACTAAGTGTTTACACGTGTTGAAATCGAAAAAGTATTTTAATCATTTTACTGGAGAAGTGAATTAACAGATCACGACATCTACCAGAGATTAAATTTAAATTTTTATTATTGTATTATTCCAAAATTTTAACACACCAGCCAATAGCTATTAATGTCAACAACTGAGCACATATAGTTATTTTAATTAATAACTATTTTAAATTAGTTTGGTTTGTTTTACAGCATATCAACCTCAATGGGTTATTTAATGCAGACAACATTTTTAGGATAGATTCGAATTAATAGAATATGTATTCTTTGGTTTAGATTGGTTTGGTTTATTTTGTTTTGCAGCATATCAACCTCAATGGTTTATTTAATGCCGACAAGATTTTTATTGCTGGTAATATTGTTTCCAGAAATGTATTGCTGGTAATAATTTTCCCCAGAAAAATATTGTTAGTATTAAAAACCTATTTTTACATTTTTATAATGTTTTGATCCCAGTTTAGGAGTTAACTATTTGCCCATAGCTGAGATCCTAACAGGTGCTACCACTCTGGGTCAAAGTGGACCTAGGAACACCGGCAATAAAAAAAAACAAAAAAAAAACAACAACAGATTTGTTGCTGTCGGATGTAGTTATTTCTATTTCCACAATATAGCTATTTGTGCTATGTTATAATGCTTATTGCATAAACAATAATAATATTGAATATTTTTTTTAAACATTAATGTATATTGAATCACATCGCCTAAATAACTGTCGCGATGTGTCAAAATCGTTTAATTTCTAAATCCTTTTATCGTAAAATTAATTATACCTTTTAATGACAAAGGCTTCTTATTTTATGAAAAACAATGAGTCAATGCGTATTATACATAAAGATTTATTCGGCCAATAACATTTGCATTAATTCCGACCTCTAATAATCCTATTTTTTCCGAGTTTCAGTTCATTTTTACATAGTAGTGTATCGATAAGTCTACATCTTGAAATATAGTTCTCAGCTCAATTTTTGAACTGGAAGTTTCACTTCGGTTTGCATAATTTTAGGAAGCGCATTAATCAAGTGCATTGACAAGGAGATTATGTTGAGAATATTGTGTTTTTTAAATCACAGACACAAGAGCATAAACTTATATAAGTAGCCTCATCTGGTAATTAAAGCCCGAATCATTTCCTGAACATCCTGTCTCACTTTCAGAATATATATATATATATATATATATATATATATATATATATATATATATATATAACACGCATACAGAGTTAATTATCTGTTGGTATATAATCCAAGTGAATCCTAATAATATAAAATATTATAACTGATCCACAAAGAGAGCTCAATGCATTTATTATAACAGAGCATATAAATTACATAGAATAGAAGTCCCAAATTACCCCATTCGAATAGCTATTTCGGCCCACAAGGACTTACTTATAGTCCTTAACATGGCTTACAACTAAGTCTTTGTGCCTACTAGCAAGTCTTTGTGGGTCGAAATAGCTATTCGAATGGGGTAATTTGGGATTTCTATTCTATGTAATTATATATGTCCGGTGTATGGATCTCATGTCCCCCACTGTACTACATCTCAATTTTCATGAGAAAATTGAAATTTTAACCTAATTATGTACAATAATGAATCATATGAAATATAGTTAAACAATTCAAGTAGAAAAATTGAAACTAAATGCAATGTATCTAAATACGAATTAAAGTCATGACATAATAGATCTTTCGATTTTAAATAAATCATTTTTTCACTTGAGATTTTTCTTGTTCAAAAGTTGAATAATTTTAACACATTGAACATTATGAATAAAAAATAGTGAATTTTATTTAGTTTTTTTTTTTTTTGAGAATTTCGATAAGCAAAAAACGAAAAACACCCCAAAATGACGTCAAAACCCGTGAAAATTCGTTATCGCTTAATAATCATTTGTGCTTAGTTTAATTTGTAACGTATATGTAAGTAGAAAAAAAAACCGAAGGTTGATAAGATAACGAAGATCACAGAGCACAGCCGGGGCCCCCAATCAGGCTTGACGCTGCCTTTGGTCGAGGGACAGGACACAGACTCACATTATATATATATATATATATATATATTACTTAGATTTGCACAAAAACTTCCAAATTCTGTACTTAATAACCATTTATGCCCCGATACGACTAGAATTTCATGTGCTACTTAGAGTGAAGGGAGTGAAAGTTCAGATGTATTTAATAAATTTTGTTCGATATCTCACGGGTTATTTTTAAAAGATAGCAACCAAAATTAAACTAATTTAATTTAATCTAAAAAGGAAAAAAAGCGATAAAAGTTTACTTTCACTTTCAAATAGAAAAAAAAAAACTTGCATTGCCGTGATATGTTGAAAAGATTAGATTTTCGAAAATAAATCCCTTCGAAAAATGACATTAAAAACTATGGCTTTAAAATACTATGTAAGCTAATTGCGGGTGGAGCCATCGAAATGGATAAAAATAAAATAAAATACGAATTTATAAATGAACCTCAACTTATGAATTAATAAGCAACATCACCCAGCGTGGATAGCATCGTTGATGACAGATTCAGAAAACCGAAATAAAAATTAGACAAGAGAGTCAAAGTAAGTACAACACGAAGAAAAAACTAATTATCAGCTATAAATAAAAAAAAAAAACATGGTTGTCGGCAAGAGAGACAGCTGAAGATCTGAGCTATTTATTGGGAACAGTCAAAATCAAACAAGTACAGAAATTTAACTATATTGATTGTTTTTTATAGCTTATCAACCTTTTTCATGTTATTTAATACAATAAAATATGTTTAGAATTTAAGAATTTATTGAAAATAATAATGGTTTACTGATACGGTTCATTAAGTCATATTAAATAACATAGCTGGAGAAGAAGTGAAAGGAAGAGAAAGAAAGAGGGGGAAAAAAGAAAGAGAAAGAAAGAGGGGGAAAAAAGAAAGAGAAAGAAAGAGGGGGAAAAAAGAAAGAGAAAGAAAGAGGGGGAAAAAAGAAAGAGAAAGAAAGAGGGGGAAAAAGAAAGAGAAAGAAAGAGGGGGAAAAAGAAAGAGAAAGAAAAGGGGAAAAAGAAAGAGAAAAGGGGGAAAAAAGAAAGAGAAAGAAAAAGGGGAAAAGAAAGAGAAAGAAAAGGGGGAAAAGAAAGAGAAAGAAAGAGGGGAAAAGATAGAGGGAAAAAAGAAAGAGAAAGATAGCGGGAAAAAAGAAAGAGAAAGAAAGAGGGGAAAAAGAAAGAGAAAGAAAGAGGGGAAAAAAGAAGGGAAAGAAAGAAGAAGAGGGGGGAAAAAAGAAGAAGAAGGGGAAAAAAGAAAGTATTTCTAAGGTGAAAGTGATCTCAGCTCTCCACAGCTTTTTTCTTTCTCACTTTAATTATAATAGCATGACTTCCTGAAAAAGATAGTGCAAAAATTCTCCGCTGACAATTCAAAGTACTCTACTCCTTTTTCTGGTTTGGCTGCTATTCAAAATTAGAGAGCCCACTCTACGCTGCTATTTATAAACCGTAGTTAGAGTAGGGAGAGATAAATTCGTGCCTTAAAAAAATGGTGGGGGGTAGGAAATTACTTAATTTTAATTACTTTTTTCCTACTCCAACGAAGTGTAGAGCGTTTTTCCGGCGGCCACTTGTTCTGCGGTCTCCAAATCACACTGCCAGACAAAACTCAAAAAACAATCATGTCGTAGTATGCGTGATAAGGTTTGTTTACAAAAGAAAGAAAGAAACTTGACCCCAATCATTATCTATGGGAATGTATATACAATTGTATGCAACTGCCGAAAAATATAATGAGTGCAAGTGACAAGAATAAATAAATAAAATAATAGAAGAGACAGAAACGCTGGAGAAGAGGGTGTTGGGGGGAGGAAAAAGAAGAAAGAAGAATAGGTAGGCAAATACAGCCATGTTTCATCACTTCTAATAATAAAAATGAACACAAGGTCGACATTTGCTTGAAGAGACAGCATACAAAGATGTTCAAAAATTAAAAAAAAAATAACGTACTGGACGCATACACAACCTGCATCGACAATAAGTTGTTTTTTGTTTTTTTTTGTAATAATAATAATTTTATTGTAATAATATTATTGCAACATTAATTATTATCATTCCTTATCCATCTATCACATCGAGTGCAGTTTGGACCGTAGAGAGTCATTGTTTTTTTAAATGTGATCTTTTCGATGGCTGCGTATTATTATGTGCTTCGTCAGGAAAGCATACGGTTTTGAACGGAGCTATCCCTTCTCTCAGACTGGTTGACAACCACGGGTCCAGTGTCCCTTGCTATTTAACCCATAGCTAAAGGGAGAAGAAATGGGTTCATACCTCCCCCCACCATTCTCGGCCGGAATTAGATTTCTCGTTCCGAGCTGTTATTACACCAACTGGATCTCCACATTATTATTACTACTAACCCTATATTGTTACTACTACAACATTATTATTACTACTACTACAACTACTATATTATTTTTATTACTACAACATTATTATTTCTATTACTACTACAACCACATGATGATGATTATCACTATTATTATTACCACCACTACATTATTATTATCACTATTATTATTACCACTACATTATTATTACTATTATTATTATTACCACTACATTATTATTATTATTACCACCACCACTACATTATTATTATTACTATTATTATTACTACTACCTTATTATCACTATTATTATTACCACCACCACTACATTATTATTATTACTATTATTATTACTACTACCTTATTATCACTATTATTATTACCACCACCACTACATTATTATTATTACTATTATTATTACCACTACATTATTATTATTACTGTTATTATTACCGCCACCACTATATTATTATTACTACTACATGCACAATAATAACATTGTTGTTTTTTTTCTAATGCCATTTTTTTTTTGAACAGTAGATGTTTTATTAAAAAAACGTTTTCACTTTTATATTGAAAACGTTTTTTAAAAACAAATAAAAAACATAGAAAAAGCATTTGAAAAATATAACCAAAAATGTCATTATCAGTTATGAGAGATAAGGAAGGGTTAAGAGTTCAAATCTCGCCTGGAAGCGTATCCTTTATCAAACCACGCTGATTTGCATAACGATCTTGAAAAATGGAAGAACAGAAAAAAAAAAAAAATAAAATAAATAAAGAGACCTGAGCATAGCGATAAAAAAGCAACACAAATAAAATTAATGATAAACTAGACAAAAATTAATCATAACAAAAAAATCTATTTCCTGGACCATTCAGACAGCCGAGGGTATTGAGAAAGTGATCTAGTAAATGTAAATAAAATAAAAATCAATGAAAAAGCTTCCCTTCCCAATAATGCAGTCCTCGGTACGACGATCAACTACATTTGGCAGCAAGTCCCTGATCGAAAGCTTGGAGATTTTGAGGAACGTGGAACCACCTCCTAATTGCTGTTGTTACCAGGTCCACGTTAATCCAGGGTCGTAGCACCTGTTAGGGTCCCAGCTATGGAAAAATCGTGAACCCCGAAATAAAAACAAAACACTATGAAAAATATAAAAATACATTTTTATTGTAAAATTACAAGTAATACATTTTTATATTTAAAAAAAGTCCAATAATACAATTTTATAGCCAAATGACCAACCATACATTTTATCTGTAGTTGAAGGCATACACATGGATTCAAAATATTTAGATTTCGGCATTAAGTAACCCATAGAGGTTGATATGCCGCTAAACAAAATCAATCAACAATACAAAATTTAACAAGGCTATGTAATGTTTGAAGTTTGTCTTCGTTACCCGCCAGATTTCTGGGCTGTAAAATAGGACCGATTTGACGTTGGTGTTGAAGATCCGATCTTGTAAAGTGTGAGGACTGTTGATCTCCAGATTGGCCGCTGAGTGTTGAAAGCGTCTCGGGCTTTGTTGATTCGGCACTTGATGTCTTCATCTGCCCCTCCCCCTTAAAAGTCGGTCCTACTTTACAGCTCAGAAACCTGACGGGTAACCAAGACCAACACCCACAAACTTCAGACATTTACCAACCGATGTCTCAGGAATATCCTCAATATCAGGTGACCAGAAGTCGTCTCCAACGACCAACTGTGAGACAGAACCAGACAAGCCCCAATCGAGATGGACATCAAGAAACGGAAATGGGGATGGATCGGCCACACACTCCGCAAGTCTCCTTCTAGTGTTACCAGGCAGGCAGGCCCGTGACTGGAATCCACAAGGAAAGTCGTCACCATCGACTAACTGTGAGACAGGACCAGACAAGCCCCAATCGAGATGGACATCAAGAAACGGAAATGGTGATGGATCAGCCACCCGCTCCGCAAGCTTGCTTCTAGTGTCACCAGGCAGGCCCTTGACAGGAATCCACAAGGAAAGTCGTCACCATCGACTAACTGTGAGACGGGACCAGACAAGCCGCAATCGAGATGGACATCAAGAAACGGAAATGGTGATGGATCAGCCACACGCTCTGCAAGCTTGCTTCTATTGTCACTAGGCAGGCCTTTGACTGGAATTCACAAGGGATGCGAAAAATGGGTCGATAAAAACAGACTTGGTGCAGAAGTATTGACGCAGAAGTGAGGGCAGCCGGCACGTCATGGGCCGAGCTGAAGAGGATCGCCCGAAACCGCGTTCGTCGGAGAGGTGTTGTTGCGCCCTATGTTCCCCAAGGAATCAAGAGGCATACCAGAATAATAATAAAATGTAATGTTTAAATTACCCGCGATCTTTACCATGAACATTGATTACAGTATTTCAAATCTTAAAATCACTTTTAGAACAAAAAGGCAAACAGAATCGATTAATTCGAATCGTGTTCAAATTTTGGTAGCAGAAAATTTGCACCCACGCCGCAATCGATGGTGAGTGTCTACTTTCTGCGCTCAGTCCTAACTGCTTTGTCACTGGCGTGATGCGATAACTGGCAAAAGAGTGGATGGGTAACTACTTTATTTGTCCAGATAGTAATATTAGTAACAGCTTTTGGCTGTTACTCGTATTGTTGCCCTTGATAATAGCGAATAAGATAAATAACGTTTAAATCGATTTCCATAAATATTGCTAGAGAAATAAAATAAAAAAAGGATAAATAAAAATAAAACAAATATGAATGCGAAACCGAAGTAAATAAATAAAGGTGGACTTATCAGATTGGAAGCAACTGTGCCAGCGGATCATACAGAGAAAAACAAAGTAGGAAATTTAGAAAAATACCAAGATCTCGGCATAGTATGAAAATTAGGGACGACGGAGTATTTGGAACTTTGCCAAAAATAATAGAACGTAGATTAGATGAATTAGATACCAAGACTGTCTAAGCCAACATTTCCCAACTGGTGCACCCGGGCACACTGACGTGCTCCAAAATGTAGTCAGGTGCACCACAAGTTAATAGAAGAGTAATTTATGAATTAATTTTTATATTTTTTTAAACAAAAAAAGAAAAAACTATTTTTAAAAAACCTAGAGACACCAATCACGTGGCTTCCATGTCTAATTAATTGTTATTTGATATTGTGATTTTATAAGCGTAGCTTAGATGTGGTACGAGGCCGAAAGTATGGAGCTATCCACTGAGGATTGAACTCACTATTCGTTCGTAATTGTTATAGCGAGACAAGCTTGCTAACCATTTCACCATACCAGTCACTTAACATTATAAACTGGATGCTAAATTTTCCTTAATCTTTAAAAAAATAAATAATAATAAACTTTTCCCTTTTGTCATTATCAAGGGATTTAAAACAGTCATTATCAACGTCTGTAAAAAAAAAAAAAAGGAAATTCTTAATAAATCACTTTAACTGAAAATTGTACGGCTAATCTTTTTGTAAT